AAGATGTTATTTTTGTTTCAAACATTGCCTGTGTTTGAAAATTGATGTACCTTTTTAAAAATGGCAAAAAGATATATCTAAGTTTGTGTGACAGGATAATAAAAACATGAGTTAAGTACAAAGTATTGCAAGATGCTAAAAGAAAGAGGAGATTTGAAATTATATTTTGAAGCTTGTTTATAGTGTGGATGAAAATTAGGTGATGCTGACAAACAGAGGTTATTGGAGTTAGAAAGACATAATGTGAGGTTTTGTTGGCAGAAACTTCCCAGATCGTTCCCAGCTGGGAGACACACCACAGATGCTGGTCAAAAAATGGATGCAGAAGCCAGCTGCGAGAAAGTGGCATTCTTTTACTGTAGGATGGCAAGAAGCAAAAAGTGAAACTGATCAAGCGTTCCTGGCTTGCAAACAATTTTTGGATTGTGAGTCTATGATTTTTATACCTATTTTCCCTTTGAAGCTTCTGTTAGTTTGATGACTTTTGTGTACTTTTAGTTAAAGTGATTGCCCTGCATTTTGTCTTCCTGCCTTAAAGGGTTAATCCTTTCTCTGGAGCTTTGTCTTTCCTATCCTGGGGGTTAATTCTGTCAGGAAAAGGGGAGTTCCAGGTGGGTTATTTTTAGTTGGTTTTGAGTTGGTTTGCTTCATAGTCCAGTTTTTGTTATTCGTAGTACTAGCCTTTGGCAGTAGCCCAGATTTTCAGATTATTTATTTCTAGTAATAAGTTAATGGCTTTTGGCAGCACACCCAGACTTCTAATCAGCTGGGCTGGGACTTTCCTTTTAGGCTTTCTTAAAGGGGAAGGAATGGCTTGAATCTCTTGGCATTGTTTTCTGAGGTTTCTGGTGCTTTGAGGCTTGGTGGACATGTAAAAAAGCTGAACAAATTGGATTCAAATTCATAATTAATTCATTAGATTTTAAAGATTAATATAAAGCTGACTAAAAGTTAGAAAAATCCCATGGATTTTTATTTTTATATGTATAATTGCAGAAAGATCTGATATTACTCACAATGGAAGAGTGGATGGTAAAGATGATGGAGCTTCCTGAAATGTCAAATTTAATTGGAGAAAAGATACTGATTAATTTTAATGCTGATTGGAAACCCTCCTTGGACTTTTTGTGTGAAACAAAAAAAATGAAATTATAATAAATGGAATTTGATTAGAAAAAATAGAAGATGATAGAAAAATTAAAGCTACCTTGCAATCTTAAAGTATATGGTCAATTTAAATTTATATGTATAACTATTGTAAAATAAAATCAAGTCATTTATTCCCTCTTTGTTTTATATCTGCACTTTGGGTTTTATTTTCTCCTGTTAGTTTTTGTTTACAAAATTTATAAAATTATAATGAAAAAAGATTCATTTTTTGCTTCACTCCGCGAAGAAAACTGCCCATTTACTCTTATTATTTTCTTTTTCATTTGTTTTTTGGTAGTAATTCATAAAAAGACAGGTTGTCTTAACCCATGGTATGAGCCTTTGATGATATACCTCAAGAAATGCTATTATATCCCTTTTTAATCTTTTTTTTTTCAGAGGTAAATATGCCCAGCTCCTAGATTTCCCTTCATAGGACTTAATTTTTAGTTCCCTACTAATTTTCATACATTTCTTCTACACTTGTTCTAGTTTCTTGAAATCTTTCCATTGAAGTACTGAAAAATGGGATTTGAACAAAAATAAATAAATTGAATGATTATTTATCTGAATTTTTAAATAAACAACTTAACAGTGGCAAACAAATCCAACACACAGTTGTCCACTTATCTATCCTGATGGGACACAGTTTCAGGCAATAAAACTCATAAAGCAATATATGAGGACCCAGACTGTTGGGGGCAATATGCTGACTGTAAACAGTTTAGAGAGGGCTGTAAAAGCACTATGAAGCAATATATAAGTCTAAATCGGAGGTGGTATTCAGCAGGTTTTGACCTGTTCTAGAGAACTGGTAGTGGAAAGTTTGATTAGTTCAGAGAATTGGCAAATACCACCTCTGACTAGCGCCGCCCCCCAACTATTCTCTGCCTCCCAAGTCCCAGCTGATCGGCTGGGTCTCCTTTTGTTGCCCTGCACAGGAGAACAGAGCTGCAAAGCAGACTAGTGAGGTGAGGAGGGAATGTGATTTTGTAGTAACCTTTTCCCCACCCCACCTGCCATACCCACCAAGCCAAGCCAGACCCACCAAGTCACACCCACAGAACTGGTAGTAAAACAATTTGAATCCCGCCACTGGTCTAAGTACTATTGCTATTGCTATTTGGAGCTTTCAGAAACTTTCAGTCAATGAAAAGATTTATTTCTTAATCTATGATAATTGCTTTAGTTACTCATACACATTGTGGTTCAATAGCATAAGGTTCTGGAATCAAGTGGAGCACCAAGTGGAGTAAATGCTTAACTGTAAAGATATGTCCACATCAAAAATGCCCAATGGTATTTTTAATGGGAGAAGATGGAGCATTAACTCACTTTTGTCCTATGATTTTTATTTTTATATTAAAGAGCACATACAAGTGAAACTTGAAAAATTAGAATATCGTGCAAAATTTCATTTATTTCAGTAATGCAACTTAAAAGGTGAAACTAATATATGAGATAGACTCATTACATGCAAAGCAAGATAGTTCAAGCCGCGATTTGTCATAATTGTGATGATTATGGCTTACAGCTCATGAAAACCCCAAATTCACAATCTCAGAAAATTAAAATTTTACATGCAATCAATAAAATAAAGATTGTACATAGAACAATATTGGACCTCTGAAAAGTATACACATGCATATGTACTCAGTACTTGGTTTGGGCCCCTTTTGCAGCAATTACTGCCTCAATGCAGCGTGGCATAGAAGCTATCAGCCTGTGGCACTGCTGAGGTGCTATGGAAGACCAGGATGCTTCAATAGCGGCCTTCAGCTCTTCTGCATTGTTCGGTCTCATGTCTCTCATCTTTCTCTTGGCAATGCCCCATAGATTCTCTATGGGGTTCAGGTCAGGCGAGTTTGCTGGCCAATCAAGCGCAGTAATCCCACGGTCATTGAACTAGGTTTTTGGTGCTTTTGGCAGTGTGGGCAGGTGCCAAGTCCTGCTGGAAAATGAAGTTAGCATCCCCACAAAGCTCGTCTGCGGAAGGAAACATGAAGTGCTCCAAGATCTCCTAGTAGATGGCTGTGTTGACCCTGGACTTAATGAAGCACAGTGGACCAACACCAGCAGATGACATGCTCCCCAAATCAACACAGACTGTGGAAACTTCACACTGTACTTCAAGCATCTTGCAGTGTGTGCCTCTCCATTCTTCCTCCAGACTCTGGATCCTTGGTTTCCAAATGAGATGCAAAAGTTGCTCTCATCAGAAAAGAGGACTTTGGACCACTGAGCAACAGACTAGTTCTGTTTTTCTGTAGTCCAGGTAAGACGCTTCTGACGTTGTTTGTTGTTCAGGAGCAGCTTGACAAGAAGAATACGACATTTGAAGCCCATGTCCAGGATCTGTCTCTGTGTGGTGGCTCTTGATGCACTGACTCCAGCCTCAGTCCACTCCTTGTGAAAGTCCCCAACACTTTTGAATGGCCCTTTCCTGACAATCCTCTGCTTGTGCAGCTTTTTCTTCCACACTTTTCCCTTCCACATAACTTTCTATTAATGTGCTTGTTGGAACATCCAACTTCTTTTGCAATTACCTTTTGAGGTTTTCCCTCCTTATGGAGGGTGTCAATTATGGTTTTTTGCACAACTGTCAGGTCAACAGTCTTTCCCATGATTGTGATTCCTACTGAACCAGACTGAGAGACCATTTAAAGGCTCAAGAACCCTTTGCAGGTGTTATGGCTTAATTAGCTGATTAAAGCCTAGAATATTGAACCTTTTCACAATATTCTAATTTTCTGAGATTGTGAATTTGGGGTTTTCATGAGCTGTAAGCCATAATCATCTCAGTTATGACAAACCATGGCTTGAACTATCTTGCTTTGCATGTAATGAGTCTATCTCATATATTAGTTTCACCTTTTAAGTTGCATTACTGAAATAAATGAACTTTTGCACAATATTCTCATTTTTCGAGTTTCACCTGTAGTCAGGTCTCAGGTGGTACTTTAATGACTAGCAGATGTTATTATGGCAAAGGATCTCTTGGTTCCATGATCCAATATTCTAAGATTATCTGGAGAGAAGTAAAAACTTTATAGTTCAATTCCATGTAGCTTTTTTGAAAGCTACACCCATAACCACTTCCCAGTCTTACCTTCTACCCTGATATTGCTAAGTCCCATTCTTAACTTCCAACCCCAGGCAGGCTTGATCAGTCAAATAGATTGTTTATACAATTCTGGGGGGGGGGGGACCCCTAAACGAATAAGAGGTTCCCAGACGCTATCTGAAGGTTTCTAGGAAAGTGACTGTCTTTTGCAAAAACAATCTTAGGATCACCAAAGATTAATACACTTCTATTGCATAAACTTTGGTGTTTAAAATGGACTGTGATCCAACAAAGCCTTCCAAGAATTTGATTTTAAGGATAACCTAGATGCTACAGGGCTGTATGTCCTTTCCAAAACAGATACACAGATTTCACTATTAAATGGACAAAACTCTTTCTTCCCATAAATAGCTCCCATCTTTCTTAACATCAAACTTCGTGGCACTCTTAACAAAGTTTGGATTGTCCAAAGAAAGGTACTTCCAGTTTTTCAGTTTTGCCATTTTTCCCTCGAAGAGAGTCCACAATGTTCTCTTTTTCTTGCGTTCATTCCTACGGTACCCCAAACAAGCCGTAGCTGTGGAAATGAAATCAATAGCACCCTCCCGTTTTCAATTTCAAGCGTAATATTTCATAAACTTCCCGCCTTCTCATACATATGCAAACCGGGAGGGCGGTCCAGGCAGGAAAAAGACGCCTCGCAGCTGCTGATCGCTGACGCGCCATCACACCACGAGCCGCTCTGTCCGCTGATTGGACAGTGGAGACCTGGTCTCATGGACAAGCAGCCGCGCGCGGCGGCGGCGGTGGGTCCTCGCAGGTGGATGGGTGGAGTTCGCTGAAGTTAGAGCAAGATGGCGCCGATTGGGGATCTAAGCCCGGAGAACCCGAGTTGAAGCAACAATCCCCGCCTAGGAAAGGGTTAATGCGGGAGGGTATCGCCGCTCCCTCTGACGAGGTGATTCTCCCTCTTACGAGGTGACTCGCTTTAACTGAGTCAGGCGCGCCTCGCTGGCAATGGAAAACGGCGAGCTGAACAGCATGGAGACGATGGAGACCCTGACGGAGCTCGGCGACGAGCTCACACTGGGCGATATCGATGGTGAGTGCTCACGAGGCGGGCGCTCGGCTGTGCCCACTATCGCCCCCCTCAGATACAGCAACCGCGGAGGAAAGGGAAAGCGCTGCTCGGTGCGGACCCGGCCCCGAGGGGCGAAGTGCCGCTAAGCGTGCCTGTCGGCCACCGGTGCACTAGTGCTATATCCTTGTTTAAATGGCTGGGGATTCCCAGAGCGACCTCACACATGAATTGGCAGGTGTCTCCCAGTGCGTGTAGCATGCAACGCCGTAGTTAGTTTTCTGTTACCCATTAACTCATCCAAATTCAGATACCTACCATTTAGGATAGGAAATTTGGGACTTATTATTTAGATTAAATTTAAGGTTTGATTGCAATACAACGCTGTGCCCCTTTGCTTCAGAATAAATATATTGTTTGAAAACTGGTGTGTATTTGTATATATGGGGCAACACTGTATGCTTATTTGGGAGAAAGTTGCCTCAAATTCAGTTGCCTTTATTATTTAACATTTATGACTAGGACTCTCTTAGATATCATGCCAGCTCTAAGCATCTCAAAATGGGCTTAGAAGACAGAAATAATATCTAGAATTGTAGGTGGTGTCAGAAGCCCTAGTGCATTTCCTTGTGTATTAGTGGAGTAGTTTGTTTCAGTTGTATTTCTTGGCATGTGATATTGACACATAAATATTGAGTGCATTCATCCACCAAGAACAGTAAAAGGTGAACCTGTATGATTTTTGGGTGCTTGGGACTGGAGGGTTTTATGAAAATTTATTATTTTTGTAAGAACATCTATATGGCTGCTCAGTGCACAGTCTCAGTGACTCCTGGCAACTTACAAAGATTAAAAACCCAATATAAAAACAATAAAAAGCAATAACCCCCCACCTCTCTAGTGACAACAATCAATCAATCACTCAAATAAGACGCTTGATCTATCTGCATCAAAATGGTACAGAGATAATGGTGGGGGGGGGGAGTTTGTCATTTTGGCAGTCAAAATTAAAAAGTGTACAAGATATTTTTTTTTTAACATGACTGAATAGAATTGACATTTTAAGCTGTCAGATACACTTTTTGTTTCTTGTATTAACATTGTTTCTATTTTTTTATTTATTGATAAATTTGGGGCTCTTTGGGAATGACCTGAATGAACAATCATTTTAATCTGATATTTATTTTAAATGTAATATAATAAATGTAATCTATGTTCAGTGAAACCATAGTTTAGCAGACCTGGAGCACATGCAATGAGTCAAATCTACCGATTTGCATTATGACATCATGCAAATGATGTATGGAGTCCTTAGTGTTCTTTAAGCTTAGTTGTTTTCATTACCTAAATAGGTAATATTTTCAGTACTAGAAGGGATTTTCTCTCTGTTTATATTGTGGGACTGGGTAATAAAATGTCTCCAAGAAAATAACCAAGCTCAGAGAGCACCAAGGACCCCCACAGTTCAACACTGAGCTACAAATATTCTTGGTAACAAATGACATATTTTGTGTCATTGGAATGTATGACACAAAAGTACGTATGACTGTATGACACAAATACAAGTACTCATGATGGTTTGTTTTCTGTTTAATGGACATTGGTGAACAGTGACATCCTCTCTCCTAATTAATCTGTTAAAATAGTTAGCTATCTGTGTAATAATTTGATGACAACTTTTAGACAAACTCAGAAAGATAGACCAGAGGCTGCATATAGTCATGAGGTCTCAAGTTGAAACAAAAAGTACAGTATGTACCAAAATTTCCTGGATATAAAAAACTAATACTTCAAGCAGACAAAGAAACCCCTTAACTTTACTAATATTAATATTAATGTAGTTATCCTGTCTTGCATTCATATGTTGCTTCTGTGTTCCTATTCTTTATAGCTTATTTTTTTCCAGTGACATTTGAATTAATCTAAATTTAAAATCCTAAGGTACAATTTGGGCAATTAATGCCACGTCTTTTTTGCCCAACCTTTAAAAAGGTGGTAGAGTTTATTTTCTCTGGCCAGTTTTAACATGAATCAAAATTTCTTAACATTAACATTTGAATTTTCTTTTTCTAAAAAACAAATTTCTGCTTGCAGTGATTTGATTCACCCTTATACATTTCTGATTCCCCTTATGTTTATTCCCATATTTTCATGTGAATGGGGAATATACTTTGCTAAAGAAAAATAAGTTTGCACTTAAAATGTAGCTTTTGAAGTTAAAGTACTTAATCAAATAACTGAAAAGGAGTAGAAAATAAAAATTCTTGTTAAAAACAAGTACTATGTTTTAGGTGTGTTTTATAAATTGCTGAGATTGAGAAAATTTTTATTTGGTGTCAGCAAGTCTATACATGAAGTCCTCGGGTTATGTCCACTTGTTCAGCAACTGTTCAAAATGACAATGATGCAATACAAACTTGAAGTTGTGGCGATTATAGTGCTCCAGAGGTCATGTAATTGTGGTTCAGGCTCTCGGCAACTGGCTTGCAGTTATGATGGTTGCAGCATTCCATGGTCATGTGATTGCCATTTGTGACCTTCCTTGATGGCTTCCCACAAGTAAAGTCAATGGGAAGCCAGCAGGAGGTTACAAGTCATTCCTGCTCTCACTAGTTTTTCTCCCAGAAGCCCCCAGGCAGCATAGGAATCTCATGCTCCACAGCACTTGCCGAAGGAACACTGCCATCCAGCTGCACTCTAGCACCCATTTACATAATTTGCCAGCACTTTCTAGGAGATTAATCAGTGTTTTTTGCCTTTGGTCGGGTTTCTGTTGTGGTGCTCTGCCCTTGACACAGACAATATGATTGGTGTGGATAGTCTATAGCAGTGTTTTCAAATTCGACAACTTCAGGATGTGTGGACTTCAGCTTGTAGAATTCCCCAACACACTGGGAATTCTGGAATGACATGAGAATTGTCAGAGTTGAAGACCACACATCTTAAAGTTTACAGTTTGAAACACACTGCTCTAAAGTATAGTGCTTCCTGAGTAATCCTGTTTCAGCATTACTTATGAATATAATGGTTCCATAGACTTTTTGGTGATGGGCTCTTATAATTTGGATATCAGCAGAACTTGTGCTCTTTATATATTCAGTTTTAGGGAGAGTACAACTTGCTGTTCAACTCTCATTGTTTAGATGATTAATTAGGATTTGTTACCTGAGTGTTATTTTTTATTTATTTATTTTATTTTATTTATTTTGTCAAGCGATTATAAGATAACAGGTATAAAGTATAACATAGTTATGAATACATGAAATGGATACATATAAGAAAAATAAAAAGAAACAGGACAGGGACGGTAGGCACTACAGACCTCTTAGGGAAGGGGTGACGTCAATAGTAGACAGTCTAAGGTTAAAGTATTTGGGGTTTGGGAAAGAATCCACAGAGTCAGGTAGAGTATTCCAGACATTGACTACTCTGTTGCTGAAGTCGTATTTCCTGCAATCAAGTTTGGTGCGATTTACCTTGAGTTTGTATCTATTGTGTGCTTTTGTATTGTTATGGTTGAAACTGAAGTATTCATGGACAGGTAGGACATTGCAATGTATAATTTTATATACTATATTTAGATGAGACCAAAGGCAGAATAGTTCTAGATTTTCTAGAGTTTCAAGTCGGGTGGCATATGGTATTCTGCAACGTTTAGAGGAGTGGAGAACTCTTCTTGTGAAATATTTCTGGATTTTCTCAACTGTATTAATATCAGATACGTAATGCGGGTTCCAGACTAATGAGCTGTATTCAAGCAAATGTTTTGTATGCTCTAGTTTTGTATGCTCTAGTTAACAGAGAAAAAGCTATGTAGGGTTAGGTTAACAACTCTTAATGCCTTCTTGGCTATGTAGTTACAGTGGGCTCTAGCACTTAGATCATTAGAAATGAATATTCCAAGGTCCTTGACAGAGTTTGGATCATCAACAAGGTCTTGACTATTCAGCTTGTATTTTATTTTCTGAATTTTTTTTGCCAGTATGTAGGACAGAGCATTTATTTGTTGAGATTTGAAGTTGCCATTTGTTTGACCATTCTGATACATAGTTGAGGTCTTTTTGAAGAGTAGCAGTATTGTCGGTGGTGTTGAATAGCTTTACATCATCAGCGATGTAATTTTACTCTATAATATACATCTTCACAAGAAATGGAGTTAAGATAAAAGATATATATTTGGATAAAATACTTTTAAACCCTGAGAAAACTTCAATTTCCAAATTATATAATTATTTATTATAATATGAAATGGCTGAGAAAATTGTAAAAGGTCCCATGTTGGCTTGGTTATAGTATTGATCTGAATGACTGGGAAGAAATCTGGCAGAAAAACCTAACACTAACCAAATCAGTAGCGCACAAGGAGAATTTATACAAAATGATGTACAGATGGCATCTGGCGCCCTCTAGATTGGCCAAAATATCTCCGACAGCCAATCCTTGCGGTTGGAAATGTAAAGGGAAATTTGTACATACTTTCATTCATGGTGGACTTGTCCTGAGATAAATAAATATTGGCTAAAAATAAAAACGTGGATAGAAGAAATTATAGAGATTGGGCTGGAGTGGAAACCGGAATTATTTTTGTTGGGAAATGATCAAAGGGCACTACTCCGCTAAAGTAAAATATCTGACCATCTATTTATTAACTGTGGCATGTATCTCACTAGCACAATATTGGAAAAACCCAAATGTACCACCAATACAGGTTGTTATTCAGAAAACATGAGTGTGCCCAACTGGAGAGGCTTACGCTTAAAATTAACAGGACGGAGGATACAGATTATTACCAGATATGGGATAAATGGCATAAGCGGGTAGACAATAAAAGGGGAAACATGAATGAACCTAAGATGCAAATTATATCCAGCGGTTTATAATATATTAAGTACATTAAAACAATTAAAGGTTTTAAACCTTCTTTTCTCTGTTACTACTATTATTAGTATTAGCCATTTATAATATCTTTTGTGTTTATTAGTTAAAAAACATGAATGTATTCATAATAGTAGTTGTAAGCCAAC